GTCTCCGGCCACCGCCGTAAGTACAGCAAAGCCCCGGGCACTTCCCCGCGAGTGCACCCCGAGGAGCCCCCGCGGCGGGCTACCTTACACCCCGTTAGCAACACCCGCAAGAAGGGGGCAGAAGGGCCCAGGTTGGGGCTTGGGAGAGGAGACGAGAAGTTGGGAAAGTTTGGTACCAGACGTTTGAGGTGCCAAAGGGGAAAAGGAAAGGAGCAGAGACCTGGGGAGGTTGTTACAGCCTCAGCCGGGAACTTTCCCAGGGACCGAGGCTGACAGCCTGGCGGTGTTAGTGTTAATACAGCCTGGTTTCGCAAGACACCCCAGGATAGGAAATTTTGAAATAAGGTGAAGTGAAAGACAAACCACCCTGCGGGGCAGTGTCTGCCAAAGCCCGGCCGCCCGTGCCCAGGGCAGCGGGCTGGAAGCGAGGAGGCAGCAGGGCCCTCGGGCGGTAAAGGAGAGAACATCCCCTGGCGTCACCCCACTCGGCCCGGCGCTCCCAGGAAGCGGCCCATGGGCTGGCCTTGACGCGCCGCTAGTGAGTGCCTGGCCCTGATGTAACTCTGCCCTCCGCGGACCTCCGGGCTCTCCCGATGAAGCAGCCGTCACTGTCACATGCCATCCCTCCCAGTCATCCCCCTGCAGCTTGGGCGGGAGGTTGGACAGCAACAAAACGCCTTAGGTGAGCCCAGCACAGAAAAGGGGACAGGGAGCAATCCCCTCCTCCAGCTCTCCAGGGAAGCTTCGGGGCCGCCACCCAAAATCACCTCCGGCAGGTCCTGAATGAGCAATGCACAGCTGTAATTTTGGCTTTCTTGTCAGAGGACGTAGCGGAAAGCTCAAGGTTGTCTGGATTCTCAAAAGCAAGTTGATGAATTCATAGCAGTAAAGGAGTATTTCCATGAAATGCAGAGATACAACACATGGGTGCCGCTAACACCCAGCCGTCAGCCCTGCGCCAGTGATGTGCCGTGGGTCCCCATGTGCCAGGACAGCCGGCTGCCGGGGGAAGGCAGTGGGCCCCTCTACACTGCGGAGGCCGCCGGCGCTTCACTAGCGGGGCCAGCTCAATCCCTTCCCGCGCCCGGCAGCAGCGCAGCGCAGAGGAGGGCTTTGGCGGTCTGGCGTCCTTCCCGGGCAGCGCCGCTCTGCCTCTGAAGTTCAGCCGGGAAGATAGCAGAGGTGAAAGGGCGCTTGGCATTTCTCCGGAGGCTTGGGTCAATCGTTAATCAGGGAGGGATTGCTTTTCACTCCTCCAGGTAACCTCTCCTCCCCTCAGCTCCCACCCACACGCCGTTGCCCGCACAAAACCAGTGCCCCCGGGAGCAGGGTGGAGAGGAGCTGCTGGCCGGGCCATGGGAAGGTAGGCACTTGTGGGAGAGCAACCAGCGAGCCGGGTGAGAGGTGGCGGCACAGCGAGCCTTGGGGAGGTGACACCTGTGTGCCGACATGGTCTCCATGGGGCTCCAGCTGGTGGGCTATGCCGTGGCCTTCCTGGGCTACATTGGCACGCTGACGGCCACACTGCTGCCCAGCTGGAAGATCAGCTCCTACATCGGCTCCAGCATCGTGACGGCCGTGGGCTTCACCAAGGGGCTGTGGATGGAGTGTGCCACATACAGCACGGGCATCACCCAGTGCGACATCTACAGCTCCCTGCTCAGTCTGCCCGCCGACATCCAGGCAGCCCAGGCCCTGATGGTGAGCTCCAGCGCCGTCTGCTCCCTCGCCTGCCTCCTCGCTGTCATGGGCATGAGGTGCACCGTCTTCATGCAGGGCTCGCCGGCCAAGGACAGAGTGGCGGTGACAGGTGGCGTGGTCTTTGTGCTCGGGGGGCTGCTCTGCTTCATCCCCGTGACCTGGAACATCCACGTGGTGCTGCGGGATTTCTACAACCCCCTGCTTCCCGACAGCACCAAGTACGAGATCGGCGAGGCGCTCTACCTGGGCATCGTCTCCTCCCTGCTCTCCCTTATCGGTGGCTTTATCCTCTGCGCCTCTTGCCCTCCTCGGGACTCGCAGGACACCTACCGCAGCACCTACCAGCCCCGGCTGCTGGCAGGTAAGAGCCCCCGGCCCTCCATCAGCCAGACGCAGAAGACGAAGAGTGAGTTCAACTCCTATAACCTGACAGGATACGTGTAGAGGGGCCCCACAGCTGCCTCAACGACACGGTGGGAACCTGGCCGGCACCTCTCCCGGCTCTGCGAAAACTTCTGAAGGGAGACCAGTAAGAGGAGAGGCCACAGCAGTGTCTCTCATGCTCAGCCCTCTCACTCGCACACGTGCGCTCCAGGGATTCCAATCTGCTCTCCCCACTGTTCCCCCGAGAGCCTTGCTACTGTTCTAGAGATCTCAGCTGATTACCTGAGTTGGTGAAAGACCCCGAATTTGGCTGCTGTTACCTGCTCAGCACGGTGCGGCACTGTCGGCTTGCAGGGAGCGCTCCTCATGAGCCTGGACGGGTGGAAAAGCAGCAGTGCCTCAGCCTGGGCACGGGCAGCCGCGCCACAGGAAGACCTCGGCAATGCAGCGACAGCAGCCCCAGCAAGCGTGCCAGCCCCAGCCGCCTCCGTGGGGTGTTCTCCAGCGTTAACCCGTTGGGTCGCTGCATGTCCTGCGTCACGGGGCCGAGCCGAGGTGTTGCGGGGGGAGCTGGGTGTCCGCGCAGGCCCGCTGCGGGTCAGGAGTCACCGCTGGAGGGTCGAGTGCTGATTTCAAATTGGTGTTGCAATAAATCTGTGTTTCTAGCTGGGCTGTGGCTAAGCTTTCCTCCAGCACCGAAGGGCTCGGGAGCCTCCCCACGCTGCAGGGGAGCCCGGCGGGGGATGTTTCGGAGGGACAGGGTGAGCACATGCCCACCCACTGGCTGATCCCACTGCAGCCAGGCACTGCACCACCGCGGCATGACGGCACCATGGGTGCTGGAGAAGGGAAGGGAGCAGACCAGGGAAGGGAGCAGACCGAGGAGGTGAGCAGCAGCACCAGTCCACTTTTGGCCCTGCATAAGCGCCGGGCGGGAAAGCAGGGGCCAGCGAGGCAGTCCTGCCTGCAGGGTCCGTGCCCGTGCAGAGGCCGCTATCACCGCGGCTGTGGTCCAGGGCCGCCTGCCCCAGGCAGCGCTTCTCGCCCAGGAGAGACGTGGGGCGGCAGCAGATCTCACGGGGAGGGTCAGGCAGGGCTGTCGGGGGGAGCGTAGGGAGCCCCTTGCTCTGCTCTGTCCCCCTCCTCTCACCGCACAGCTTTGCCCCAGGAGCCCGAGGGGGACGGGTGCGCGCTGGCCGGGGGCAGTCCCTGCCCGACTTGCCCTGGGAGGCTGCTGCGCGGCCGCGAACGCCAGCGCAGCTCTCCTGGGTGCTGGTGGCCCCTTCTCACCCGCTCACTCTCAAAGCACCTGCAAGGACCAGGTGAGCTCAGCTTCATCCTGCTCCCGAACCTGCCCTCCCTCCGAAAACCCTGAAGCCCCTTCACCAAACCCATCATCTCCCCCCATCCCGTGCTCAAATCCGCTGGCCACATGCAGGTGCCACGAGGCCCGGGGCATGCGGTGGGTGGACCTGCCACCCCCAGGTCTCCGTGCTGCACATCAAGGTCCCTGGTGCCTAGCCCCCTCCTCGGCGGGCTGGGCAGAGAGGCAGGACCCCACTGACCCTACTAGCTTTTATTGGAAACATCATAAAACGAGAAATAAAACCATTATCGGGGAGCAGGGGTAGCTGCAGGTCCTGGCTGCAGAGGGCTCCTGGCCACAGGGGTAACAGCACATGGGACCAACGAAACCCTGCCCCATCACAGCCCTGGGCTGCTCCAGCGCAGGCGCAGGGCGAGGGCGGAGGTGGGGAGGACGCAGCGGACGGACAGGCAGAGGGCAGGACCCCTCTTCTCCCCGCTCCCCTGCCAGCCCCTCGTAAAGCAATATAGATTAGGTGCTGGAAAGCAGGGCACTGGGTTCCTCGCTCAGGCGTCACCGTTTCCATCATTAACCTTGCACAAGTGAAATCATGTTTACCTGTTGTGCTAACGCTCCTGATAATCGCGTGAGTCACGCTTTCTCCCCTCTTTGCTGAGCCAGAGGCCACCCCAGCCACCCCCACGATAACGGAGAGGCTCCTGAGCAGGGGCCACCGAGGCTTTTGAGGCAAAGGCTGATCACCCACCTTCCACGGCACCGGGACGAAGCCCACCTTGCACAAGTGAAATCATGTTTACCTGTTGTGCTAACGCTCCTGATAATCGCGTGAGTCACGCTTTCTCCCCTCTTTGCTGAGCCAGAGGCCACCCCAGCCACCCCCACGATAACGGAGAGGCTCCTGAGCAGGGGCCACCGAGGCTTTTGAGGCAAAGGCTGATCACCCACCTTCCACGGCACCGGGACGAAGCCCGAGGCGTTACCGGGCACCGCTCCCACGGGCAAACGCGAGAGCCCGGGCGCAGGGAGGGGAGGCACAGCACCGCCAGCCGCTTCCCGCAGGGGCTGAGGCACGGCTTCGAACGGGGGCCCTGGAGTTCACTCAAGTCCTTCAAGGGGCGCTTGAAACTCTCCATCTGGAGCATTGCGGCTGCTGCTTTTATTAACGCCTTAATTCAAGCACCAGAGAGAAAATTCCCATTTTTAACAGAGGAAATTCCCATTTTTAACAGCGTTGGCACATATTGCCCACAGGGGAGAGAGGCTGGCGGCAGGGTGAGGGGCCTGGGTTGATAAAGCAAAAAGCTCCCATAGGAAAAGGCCCTGAGGGCGAGACATGACTGCAGGGCCGAGGAAAGCAAGGGGCTCGGGACGTAT